GTAATGAAGAGATCACGCCACGCTCACATGCTCGTCAGGCACCTCCTTGTCATCGTCATTTGTACAGTCGAAGCTTTCTTCGAGTTCGGTGAGAAAGACTTCTTCTTTCTCGGCGGCTGCGAAATGCTCATGGAACGATCTCGACGCTGCTCCTCCACCATGCCATGCCCACAGCACTGCCAGGCACATGGTCGTCACGAACACCGCCATAACGAAGAACAACAGCCAAGCCAATCGTCGATGAACAAGGCACTGAAAATAATTTGATGAAGTTGAAAAGGGTGAGCGCAACCCCCGCCCAGTGACAGTGCATGAATTTTTAGCGTTTGCTATTTATCAGAGAATATCAAATATGGTTCAATAAATAGGAAATCTGCCTACAATGGATTCAGTTATAGCAACTACAGAGTTCGCATTTACCATCCCATGAACTCATCAATCGTAGGACACGACCCCTTCTTCCCAATCCCTGAACCCCTGGATGGTCTATACAATCCCTTCATCATGAGGTTTTTCACTTGATTCCGGCACCACCCGTCACACTCCAGCCCCGCCTCGAAACTTCCTCCTAATGAGATCACCGACGTTCAACCTCTTGAGTGGGACGAGGAAAGAAGTATAGAGACGACAAGTTCTGCACTTTCTAAATTTCTCCCCAATTGACGCTTACCCTTTCCCTTTGCGAATACGACCACTCGGAAATCCCTAGTGAGACTTTCAAAAATCACACATAGGACCGCCCTCTTTGGTAGATTACCAACGGCTACTCAACAGGGAGCCCGTCGTGCGGCGGGAAGGCAGACACCCAAATGTGTCACCGGACGAGTCACAGCGCGTACTGTAGCGATTTAGCGTCAAGTTAAATAGAATGCACTAAAGTACGTCCCACAGCACAGTGCGCGACTCGTCCGCTGACCCGTCTGCGTCTCTGCCTTCTCGCCGCGCGACGGGCCTCCTGTCGGGTACCCGATTACAACGGATGGTTGATGACGGAGCAGAGTGATACAATAGCGAAACACGTCGCAACTGCAGGCACATGCCCATTCAGGGCATGATTCCATAAAAGTCCAGTAACCTTCCTCGAGGCAACGCGATTAAAGAAACCTCGCACATAAGGAGTTCAGTAGTGTGGACTCGATGGACTAAAGGCCGATTTCACGATGAAAAGTAACTCATTGAAATAAGGTAGAGGTGGTCAGTGGAGCAGGGATGAAGAAGAAACCATGAGAAACGGCCCAGAACCCGAGAAATGGGACCCCTTCCTTGCCCGTTGATTTGCGCATTGATGCGACTCTCATCGCTGTGCCCTCTTCAACACTACGCTCTCTCTGCTATCTAATCACTCGCCACGTATAGACCTGCGGCGAGTGATTAGATAGTCGGTGGGCGTTCCGGCCAACTGCGCCGGGGAAGGCCATGCTAGATCGCCGGGGTCATCCTTTGATGCGAATGCGTGTTGGTCCCCATCCTTAGGAGGTCCGCCTGTCCCTCCACTAGGTAAGTTCCGGCTTCTACGATCTTCATTCCTATTGTCATCCTCTCTTTACTCGACTAGGGTGTATTGAATGTGAAAGCGAACAGGAAAAAATGGTCGCTAGAGGGCGTGGCTGAGAGTGTAACTTCGTCCTCAGTCGTGTATTTTTACTTTTGTACCTTGCACCATAAGTACAGAGTGAGAATCGTTTCATAAATAACTGAGTTTGAGTGAAGTCCTCCAATTTTGACAGAAGTGGATACCTCCAAAAAATTAACAGCCCGAGTAAAAATGGGATTTCCAGGGTCTCTTCGTAATAACTTCGCCATTTTGCGTGAACACTTCTGCACGGCAGATAATGGTTGAAACTTTCACTACTTATTTTACCGTAGGACTATAGCTGTTGGCATCCTGACAACTCCCGTTGTTTTCGTAAAGCGCTCCTTCAATTCCTTGTTTTACATGCGACATTCATCATTAGCTTCACAGGGCTTATCGCCATTCTCACAGGGGACTGAAGAAAGCCTTATCATCCGATCTGCCACTAAACCTGTGCAAAAAACTTAGCCGTTTGCTGAAAAGATGGCGCTGCTGATTTCCGAAGTGCGGCATTCGTGGAAATTCTAGGCGCCTTGAAACATCATTGATGAAAAATCGGGCAGGAGAATCCCTCGAGATGTGACGTGCACTCAAATTGCCGAGATGAACCGTGGAGATTGAATGCGAACGGTTCAGCATTCATTTATGAACTATGTGCATGCAGATGAGAAACAGAGTTCATAATGAAATCAGAGGAACAAAAATAGAAAAAATGCTCAGTTTTGTTCTAATTAATTCAGGAAAGGGGATTTTTATTTTTTTTTCGGAAATGAATATTTACTCAGCTAAACTAATCAGTACAAATGAAAAAACTATGCCTACACACGTGCTGGTTAATTTACATTTGTCTGCTAAATTTCTAGCCCTTAATTTTGCCATCGCGCCACCTGCGGTATCAGGTCAGCAGTTTTTTCCGGAACAAGCCTTGTATCACCTGACCGACCTTAGAGGAAGCAAAGGCATGGTGGTCCTGGATGGCGCACAATTCAGGAAGTGAATCCCTTTAAGTCGCGGGAGACGTGCGTTTCTCCTCCTGGGGTCAGGTCCACCACAGTTGCGCGATCATTGAAGCTTAAGGTTAAGTTTGGGTTTAGGACTTAGGTTAAGGCTTATGCTTACACATTGGCTTGCCTAAGCCTATGATTGGGCCTAGGCTTAGTCCTAAGCTTGCTCCGAGCGAATGAACGGCGTCTCAGTTTTAGGTGACCTGACCCCAGGAGGAGAAACGCTACGCACCCCATCGTAAGGCTACCATCTTCGTTAATCCGTAGCGAAGAAAGCTCGAGCTCAAATTTATCAAAATCCCTTTTTGTCATCACTGTCTGGCGGGATTTTCCTCACTTAAGGGCGGCGCCGCGCTCCCTTCTTTTCCTGGCCTCCCAAATGTAATCTCCTCTCCCCGCTCAACCCATACGAGTGTACAAAGTGCGCTAACAAAATGTGTGAAAAAATGGGCAAAAATTAGACTGTCGAATTCTCCCGAATTAAAATCAAAAACCACAAAAATCCTCAAAAATTGAAAAAATAGAACAAAACAGTAAAATAAACATGAAAGTTTCTAAGCGTATACATATATAATAGAAACGCTGAAAAAGAAGAAACTAACGAGATGGCTCGGATTTCCGCGTTTGTCGTTGAAATCGAAAAACTGTGGAATGACGATGACCATGCAGAGTAGGACGCCCACTGTTGACACAACCCACAGGACCATCATTTTGTACTTGTATGTACCCCCTGAATATTTTTGCCAATAATCAAAGAGTCATGTTCTTAACGTTCGCCATCTAGAAATGTCCCAGACTCGTCTAACCTTCAACGGGTAAAAACATCCCGCGGTAGGACGCTGTCATTAAAGGACCCCTTGCTGACAACCAAGGTTTGTTGGAGACCACAGAAAATTTCAGGTGCTATTGGGCCTGCCAGCCCACAACAGCCTGTAACCCCTACGACCGACTCCAGCCACACGACCATTTTCGAGGAAAATCGCTCCCGTCGGTGACCCCTCCTCGAATCCTGGCAACAGTTCCTCTTTACAGGTGTCATCGAAACCATTCGTAATAGCGCTCGTAGTATCAAAGCTGCTGATTGTCAGATGCCTCACTGAAATGCCCCTTTCATCAGTCTCAAAAGGATGGGATTATGGATTTTTTACGCCAAATTGATTTAAAAAAAAACACTCCAATTGGTACAAAAAAAAAACTGGAGAGTACCTATGGATATGAAGCCTTGAGTACGCGAAACTCCATTGCACATATTCAAAGAAACTACAAAATGTCACACCGCTGAGGGGGGTTCACAAAACATCTCGTACCCAATCGTAATGGTGCGAGTGCCACGCATCCTCCTCCATAAAATCGTAGTGATCCTGAATGCGAATACCGGGGATAGACTTGAGGAATCACCACAGTCGATATTTTCCCATCGTCCCAGAACAGAGTCAAGCTGTTGCGTTTCAGCAATTCAAAAGAATTATGACGCCCTCTTTTAGTCTTCTCTTTAGGCGGGTCTGATGCAACCCCGCTTTCCCTCACTCTCCCGAACAACCACCCTCCAGAGAAGTCATCAATGTGCTTCGACAGTACCCAACTCCGCCCACTTTGCCCCCCAAAACGGAGGGGGGTGGGCAGACGTAGTAGTGAAATACGTCTATAGAGTCGGGAAACCCTCTAACTTTTTCCACCTTCCTGCTTATTTCATGAAGTTTTCCCTAAAATTGTCACAAAACCCCTTAAACGCGACACCTGTGCTAAAACCACGACCCTTGAACTTCCAAGAATATGATCCCCTTTCTTCCACCTTTTGATCCTTCACCAACCCAAAATACGCCCCTCCTCCGAAAAACTCAAATGCGGCCTCCCCCATCCTCGTTGAGACGGTTGATCTTCTCCTAAGCGAGTCTGACACCACAAAGGCAATCACTTAACAATCGTAGAGGTGAAAAACTTTTTCCAATGGATACACTTTGAGGTCGTATGCAAATCCTTCAGGACGAAGAGCCTTTGGTAAAGAGAAGTCCCTAGAGAATCGCTCCCTTTTAGCCTTTGAATCCAACTCCCTGCGAGAAATCATGCACTCTTTGTCGGCAGAGTTCCCCTTTTTTGAAGCTTTTTTTTTGAAGTAGTACTTTCCAGTGACAAGGGAATAGCAAACGGACATTGAGCAGCATCGGAAAATAACCGTTTTGTTGGGAACATTGGAACGTTCCCCAGAATACTGCCAAAATTTCCTGCTTCTCCTGCGTTCACTAGGCCCTTTCCGCTGTCCCCAAGCAATTTGCAAGAAAACCTCTTGTAATGACTAGGTCTCGGGTCTCATCCAGTAGGGGGGGGGGCATAGCGATCTAGAGCATTTCAAACCATGGAAAGCATATTATTTTATTGTAGACGTTCAGGACTAAGCCTTAGTTAGAAGGGAAGGAGCCCCCGGGTCCGTGAGCAATCTTGGTTTTCCCCGGGGGGACTTCCTCCCCCTCCTAGGCTTAGTCCTGCTAACTAGGTGAATTTCACTTTCGTAGACGTTAATGTCATCTAGTACAAGAATACATACATTACACAAAACACCTGAAGAAATAACATAGGAAAAAAGCTGATAGCAGCTCGTAACTTTAAAGGACTCCTTGAGCCAAATTGGCATTAGAGCAGACCGTGCACCGCAATGCCCCCTCTTACCGGATGAGACCCTAGGTCCCTAATAAAGTGTCTAGAAGATAGGGACCGCTCAGAGTGATCGATGGTTGTTCACCAATTGTCCTTTCCGATGCCCCAACACCTGGTTTTGTGGGAAAATATCTTGAAGCTCAAAGTGTTGATGATGATGTCAACAGGTAACGCTCTGCCAGGATGTCAAACAAACATGTTTCGTCTTCCACGGGTTAACCTTTTGCAAAGATCTATGGTACCTTTGCTCACTGCGATATAAGTATCATTTGGATCCGTATTACACCCATGTCGGTACTCTGTATCCGGCAGCCAGGAAATTCTGCACTACAGACTCCACAGAGCAAGTGACGACGGTCTCCAAGAAAATCTGATAACTATTAGTTTATGGTCGATCGCTGATAGTTGATAAATGATAGTTATGACTACAAACAATTTGTGGAATACAACTGCGACTCGCTAATCATTTTGCTGGCAGAAAACTGTTACATTTCTTCAAGGCCGACGTCATTTGTGTTGTGGAGTCTGCGGTGAACACCACCTGGCCGTCGGACACAAAGGGTATCAACCTCTACGTGCAAAACAACACGATGTAAACACATCCCAGCGGCAATTAGCTATAGGTAACAAAAGTAAAACAATAAATAGGGCAAGTTTCTACACCACTAATCAGCACTTTGGATTGAGCCGCGTATTTCGCTGGCATGAAAATATCCTGTGGACTTTGGAACGCGTTTTCCTATCCCAGATGGATGCCCGTGATAATTCGTTCGATGCCTTATTTCTCTCCCAATACTTTGGGGTTATTAATTGTTGCTGGAATAAGAACGCTCCCCTTTAGCAGGGAAGCGAGCTAAGATTCTAGAGCCATAAGGCATCGAGGCATTAAACTCTTCCTTGTTGGAATACGCCATGCACACTACTTCATTCAGGATTGTAAGGTAGTGGCAAGTGATGAAAAGTTGGGGTTAGCTAACATCGAAGTCAGCGGATGTCTCCGTTTTAAACGTTCTGGTACGGACAGTCAATGCCATATAGACGTCAGGGAAATCTCAAGTAGGCCTCTGGAAAATCCCAGCAGGCGTCTAATCCACGGATCTTGTGGGGATAGTGCTCCAAAACGCGCGGGTCGGAAACTTTGCTTCCACGCTAACCACAAGTACAGCAGCGGTCAAAAGTGTTCGCCGAAACAGTTTTCGTGCTCCCCTTTTCTTTCGCCACAAAAAATGGTGATCTCGAAAATTCTTTTGCATCTCTTGATTTTCAAGAATCTGATGCGATTAAAATAGGGTATAAAATGATACGAAGAGACATAGGGACGTAAATTTCTGGACGGGGGCGTTGCTCGTGTTGAGTAGATAAAATCGGAAAAATCGCTTCGCGCCTGAAACATTTTGACCGCAACTTGACTAACATATGGATTAAAGAAATAGGGGAAAATTAGTTACGTTACTTAGGTGTGGAAGCAGTTGTTGACCGAGGAAACTGAGGCACTATACACGAGGAATCGTAGTAGATTTCATCCTGATCGTTTTCCAGAGTGCTTTTGCGTTCCTTGATTTCATTAATTACTCTATCATAGTCGAGTGCATACGTCAGATAAAGTTGTGTTATCAGCAAGAACATTACCTGATGGCTAAGAACGAAGGCACAATAGAGGAATTGAAATCCGACGAACACGAACACGGCATATTTGTAGTAGGGTGGAAACAGCCGGGACACATAACTCATCTGAAAAACTTCATTTGTCCATAAACCTCGATTTTCAACGTGATCACAAGAACTACGGGTCATGCAAATATTCACGAAAAAAAACGAATCTCTTCTGAACACCGTAGGAAAACCAGAACGATGAGATTTGCGATTAGCCGGCATTCTTTTGCAGAGCTCGAATGAAATCACCTGTCAACCAGGTAATTTATGCATCCCCCACTGCCGCATTTACGCATACCTTAGTCGTGCTTGGTGAAGCCGACGGGAGTTAGATGAATGCTTCCCACCTACACATCCTACGCACTCGAAAGTATTAACGACAAATTGCGACAAATTTTTATTGGGTAAGCTGTTTTACGGGATTTTAGGATTCGTACCGGATTTCTTGCTCTCTGCGCGATTGTGCCACTAATTACAGTTGCAGCCACTTAGAGTTGCTACCATTTACGAATCCCGGCTGGAGCCAAGTTTAGTTTAAACTCTGTTTTCCTGTCATCAAGCTTAACGACAAATGTTATGCCTGGTGTAGGGTGGACGCGCTTTATGCACTAGACGTGTAATAAGCGCCGATAAGTTATGTAAATATACCTATGGAAAGCGATTAGGGGGCAAAGACGAGCGGTAAGCAAAACTAGCTCCGTTTGGCGTTGCTTTGCTGTGCGGCCGTTGGAGAGGATGGGCGGTGCCTCCGTCGGGCACGGATATTTATCATCTCGAGTCGGGTTTACGGGTGTGAGGCCGTCGATGGGTTGACGACTCACGGACGACGTAAGTGGTGCAGCTGGTCCAGCAGCTCCGCCAAAAGGGCTGGTTTGCTTACCCCAGGACTAAGCCTTGGAGAGGGGGACGGCGCTCTCGCAGGTCCGTCCTCTCTTTAAGGCTTAGTCCTGAGGTAAGCATCAAATTGAGGCGGTTTTAAGGACCGAGTTGAAGTAGTCCGTCGACCGTCGGGGACCCCATCCCCTCCCCAACATTCAGCATACGGCCCCAGCAGAAACGCCAAAAGGGCTGGTTTGCTTACTTCGCAAAACGGTGCCCCGATAGCGTAACTTGGTAGCGCACTTGCCGGAAAGCGAGAGGTGCGGGTTCGAGTCCCGCCTGGGGCGAAAGTTTTTCATAACCCAGCATTCTTGTAAAACTAACGACAATGAAAGTAACGACAAAGTGGAAACTCTTTGAATCGATTTTGAACTCGAGTGAGGAGAAACAGTTGCAGATAACAATGAAACTGTCAACAATGAGAGGGTTTATCACTTGAACTCATGGGTGTTGATATTATTATCAGAGAGGTAAGAAAAACGAATACTGATAGGACTGGAGGAGCCCTTCAATCGATTTCCCACCAGTGATGCATTGAATGTGCTATGTAACTGATAAAGTGCTCGATTACTAGCTAAGGATGCGCCACACACTTGAATTTTCCTCAGAATTGTATCTACAAGCAGAATTCGAGAGCGAACAGGTTGACTTAAAGCGAGAGATTACGATAAAGTGTGTGTGCAGCATGGAAGTACATGCACCAGTGGAAGCAGTAGTCAGGGGCCAAGGAAGCGAGATGTGGCGTTTTTGTGGCCAAAGGCGCGCTAGTTCAGCGCCCTGGGGCTAATAATCCTTTTTGAGTTCCGCCGCCTGTGCTCCGTCCATCAGTGTGTTGCTAGCAGCATCACTGGCATGCGCAAATGACCTCTTAATTGGTTGCTAGCTCGTCCATTATCGGAGGTCAACGGGCAAAGAAAGGGGTCCCATTTTGCGCCTTCTTGACGGATTTCTTTGCTTTTTTCGCCACTGGGGCATTATTCAGCATCTCCACTTCCACTATGAACCCAGTCCAAACTTATCGTAATCCCTCTTCTTAAAGGGTAGGGTCAACTGCCACGTTGCTCACGCTGCGGAAAATTGAGATGTTGGACGACGTCCTCCAAGAGTTGGAGGTCCCGAAATCGATCCCTCCGCGGCTGCGACAGTTACCATGGGCATCGCTGATCCTGCCGTCCCTCGGACGACACACGCAAAAAAGCGGTCCAATCTCTGAAAGCGCGTACGAGCAAGGTAGGTTATACTAGGTTAGTAAGTTGTTAGAAAATAAAATTTTAGTTTACTTCTTCCGTGCTCCAAAGATCTTCATACAAAATAATACCATTTTTAATGATTCTGGAAAAAAGGTTCTTCAGTCAGAAGGAATACTTAACGGAAGGGTTCCTCTCTGTTAGAGGTGAGTATTTGGGACGTGTTTGTTCTCACAGAGGAGCTTAGCAATGAATACAAGAAGGGCTGGTGATCGTACAGCAAGCTCAATCGACGGACTTGCTGAACAGGGTCAACCGTCCGTTGGACAATGCCCAACGCGACGACGAGAGTAATGCCGAGAGTGAACGTACGCACGAGACACAGACGGCTCGCGGGGGCGAGAAGTGAATGCCGGCGCGGAGAGCGGTGAACATCGGTCCAACGTCCGCTCCAATATCGGTCCAGCGTAAGGTTGACCCTGTGCGAAGGGTGTTGATAGCGAGTTGAGGGCTGTTACTGCTGGGTCGAATCGCTCACTTCTCATTATAAATGACGTCATCACTTGCTGCATGGGGGAATATAATTAAATGCAGGGCCACAATAAGATGTTCAAAAGGGCAGGGTCACTTGCCACTGTGACTCTTATGTCGGGGGGTAGAAACTATTCGTACTAAACGCGAAATGAAGTAATTTTTACATTATCCTAAAATCCTATAGGAGGGTCTGCTTCTATCGAGAAACTTGGGCTTTTTTTCATCACTCGGTGGTTTTTGCTCAGCACTGACTTTCTTACCAGTTTTTTCAATCACATGAAAAACAAAACAACAACAAAAAATAACTGAGGTCAACAACTTCGGTGTTATCATCGAGGTTGAGCGAACCTTTATTTTATCTCACCTTCAGGATAATTTACCTGTATTTATCTGTGTAATTCAGGGTAACTGAACATCAAGGGGAGTAAAACAGCGATGTCAAATAGTAGCTGAGTCAAGGGCCTACCCATAATTATCGGTTATAAAAAGACGCTAACAAGCGACATCGGTCCTCCTTGTGCAGGGAGGCTAAATTTATAGCCCAGTCTTCGGCTACGCATTGGGGTCGACCTTCCGCATAACGAGTCCTAGGGTTCTCCCACAGTGATTATTGATTCGGTTCTTTATCGTAAGAAGTAAGAAGTATGTCTATCGTAAGAGCATCAGATTCATAGGTACCAAACGGAACCTTTGTTATTATCCACATTCTGGAGCCCACATGGTAGTTTTGACCGGCTCATCTGGTGGTCTGGAGTTTCTGTGGCACGTCTGATAGCAAAAGGAGATTCAGCGTGTGAGAGGGAGAGCCAAGGACTGAAGGGAACTGATATGACTTCTGACGCAAATTCATTCATAAAATCACAAAAAAGTGCTAATCGTTAGGCTTTGGATGACTATAGCAGTGGTAAAAAGATACAATAGTTATTTGGACCTTTCCAGAGGCTTCGTAAGGGAACAGCAGGGGAAAGAAGGCAGATTAAGTACCTCAAAATAAGAGGAAGTCCACAAAGGACTTAAGGCAGTGGGACTAGTTCACTAAAATAATCCCCTATGTGGGTGGGGTAGCACGGTCCGTAAGCACCGGAGTTGTGCCATTCTTACTGCTTGAAAGTGCGTCATAAGGGCATTAGCTAGGGCACTGGAGATAGCTCCAATTATCGGAGTTAACCACCACCCTATTGCTCTAACTGGAGCGGTTGGATGTCTGTGCTTGTTGGTCACGCGTGCTCTCTCACGTGTCCTCCCTCCTAATGCACTGTGATTCACCGTTGTACTACATATAATGGTCGGTCATAGAAAGGAAAACCTCAATTTCAATGTTTTCGTTGATTTCTATTTTTTTCACTAACGATCCTAACTCACCCTAGCACGCGACAGGGACGAATGGAGACGTTGCTGGCGCCCGCTCGAGCAATTCGATGATCAACGGGACGACAGGTGATACAGGTGATACAGGTGAAATAACTTCGTATAGCATACATTATACGAAGTTATTTATTTATTTATTTATTTGAAACGCTGCATAAGGCAGTCGTGGGAAACCAACAAATGGCAAACAACACAACAAGCTTTTCATATATACCCTAGCCATAACTCAACAATTCTTCAATAGGTAGGTGCTTGAAAAGCGCAAAAGTGGGAGTGACGAGTGCCACGTTTGGATTAGGCACAAACTTTGACAGCGGATTGTAACGTCAAGGTCTAAGCGCCTTTTGCCGCTTTAAAAGCGCCTCTACACACCATACGAGCCAAGTGACAAGATAGGAAGACTACTAGATATCTAATCGTAAGTCAATGAATCGCCAAATAAGCCCATGGCAAAAGAAAACAGTCTAACAGCATGAGGACTTTCTGAACATCATCGACACTGCGCGCTATCGTTGACCGCAGCGGATTTAGTGATAGAACAGGAAGGAGTGCTACTGCAAGGAACTAGTCAGTGATGCATATCTCCCCCCCCCCAACTATGACCCTTGGGTTGAGCATAGAGCTCATAATCATTCAAATAAATAAGGGCGGATAGTAAAATAAGGTATCGGGTTACGTCAACATGACCAGCGAGTCTGGTGTGGAAACGAGTTCGCAAGGCGACTGCCGCAAAAACTGCACGTTACCAAAACATAAAACAACGTGACTCAATAGCTGAATGGATATCGTGGTCTAGGAAAAGACTCCGAATGAGTTAGGATAAAATATATTTTGTTTTCAGAATTCGGGTTAATTTTTTTTACTTCTTCAGAAAGTCATATTTTCTGAATAAGTAGAAAAATTAACAAACTAACTTAACGAAAAATGGTTGCTCAATCATCTCGCTGGTTTGGAAGCTTAGCGCGTGCGTACGTCGAAGAAAGTTCGTGCCGCGATGAGAGATGCTGGCGGAGAAGGAACGAGACAAAACGGAAACAAAAGAGACGCAAACATCGTTGGCTTCAAGTTTCAGGCGGACTGCAGATTTATTCACTTATTTACAACTATTGT